TAGATTCTGAAAATTATAGCCTGGTGGGATGGCTACCAATCCTATGCAACAGTTTGTTTGCATGTATACCATAAAAGTATAGCTGGTGATATGGAAAAAGACCAGCTTACTGGTCTAACAGAGACTGGTGGCCCCTAGTCACCCTTTGGGTCTAGAACTGAACCCATTCCAGTGGCTCAACTTTCAGCCAAATAAGTCTATGATGTGAACAATTGCAGGTAGGAAATCCTTAGAACAATCAACCATCAGAGATCAGAATGACAATATTTGCACAGGGAGATAGTTCAGAGGGCAGGAACGCATAGGAAAGAAGGACCCAGAGGAAAGGTAATCACAGGGGGGAAGTGGAAGGAGAGCTATTGCATTATGGGGATTGCAATCAATGTCATGAAACAAAATGTGTATGAACTGCTGTATGGAAAATGAATTTGCTCTGTAAACTTGCACCCAAATCACACACACAAAGTATAGTTGGTGAGAGCTGGAGAAAAGTAAGCCTTGTTTTTAAAGGCACACTGAGCACTAAGAGTATAAGTTCACCGCAGATAAACTGTTAAGACATATCTGTGTGTGTGTGTGTGCGTGTCTCTTTTGAGGTAGTGGGTTCTAGCTCTGAGACTTCTTTAACATTTTAGAAAGCAAAGATATTATTTTGATGTTAAGGAGTGCATGACCCAAGCCATGGTCTTTTCATTGCTCCATGTATATGTGAAAGCTGGACAATGAAAAAGAAAGATAGATGAAGAACTGGTGCATTTGAATTGTGGTGCTGGTGAAGAATACCGATTATCTGTGAACTGAGAGAACAAACAAATTAGTCTCAGAAGAAATACAACCAGAATGCTCCTTAGAAGTGAGGATGGTGAGACTCTGGCTCACTTACTTTGGACACATCATCAAGATCAACTGCTAGAAAAAGACATCATGGTTGGTAAAGTGGCTGGTGAAGGTGAGCGAGGACCTCGTGAGATGGACTGACAGAGCAGCCAAAACAATGGACTCAAATACAGCCACTATCATGAAGATGGGCGATGTTTCATTCTGTTAGACTCTACATGACTTGGAGTCAACTCAACAGCAACTAAAAGCAGCCTTGTAGATTAGAGAATTCTAACAGATGATACACATACACACACAGTCTCAAAGACAGCTAACAACATCTCATGTCATCCTCATGGAGAAAGCAGAGACAAATGGGTTCACTGAGATGGATTACAACCTAACCAATGACTGCCTGGATAGTGTTGAATTATAAACACAAAAATCAATCTGCAGACAGAATTTAGAGGATAACAGGTCTGTCTTTCTGAACCATCCAATCAAGGATTTAGGAGATATAGATGCATTCTCATGAAATCTGTAGATTCATATAAAGATGACAGAGAAGTTACTACCCTGAATAACAAAGCAAGAATTACCAAAATTTTTTACTCTTTGGAGCAATGATTCAAATCTGGCAAAATAAAATCTCCTATAAACAAAGGTAAGGAGTTCTGGAAGCATAGTGCCTGAGGCATTTGATTGCTAACCACAAGGCTAGCGGTTCAAACCCACCAGCCACTCCTCGGAAGGAAGATGGGCGATCAATCCACTTCCATAGTGGTACTGACTCGGAGACCCAAGGAGAGGTCACTATAAGTCAGATCTGACTCAATGACAGTGCGTTTGGTTTTTGTATAAACAAAGTTAAGATTTTTAACTTAGCACCAAAAATCCAACTATAAAAGCATAAATTAAAAGAGGTGTTGAAGTATTCCAACCAAACCAAACTTTGCTCCCATAGTCAAGACAATTCTGACTCACAGAGACCTTACAGGACAGAGTAGAACTGCCCCATAGGGTTTCCAAGCCATAAAATTTTTATGGAAGCAGACTGCCTATCTTTCTCCCACAGAGTAGCTGGTGGGTTCATGGCTCCAACCTTTGGGTCAGCAGCCCAATGTTTTAACCACAGCATCACCAGAGTGCCTAAGTTTAAGCGTTCAGTACGAGTCTTCAATGTGCTATGGCTACACTGTATTGCTATAGCATGGGTTGTGCTTTTAAACAAAAGTTCAGTACATAGAACAAGAAAGCTGGAAAACCTTGTTGAGCGGGCCTTCAAAATATCCAGAATCCAACCACTTCTCATCACTGTCACTGTACCTCCATGATCCAAACCACCTTCCACTCTCATCAACTTACAACGTTAGCCCCTTACAGTCTATTCTCATCATGACAGCCAGCCTGATCCTTAATCAACATAAGTCAGATCACACTACTTCTCTACTCAAAACCCTCCAATCACTTCTCATTGTACTTCCAAATTGAAGACAAAGTCCTTGTCATAGCTATCAGGGCCTACACCATTCTGTCCCCCATTGCTTCTCTCGGTTCATCTCCCGCCCCTTCTCCCTTACTCACTCCATTACAATCACACATACATCTGAAGACACTGATAGCTGCAATGTGATAGGTGGGAGAGCAGAGGTGCAAGTATCAAAGGGAAAAACCAAGGCAATGAAAGATGAGTTCAGAACACCAGAAAGAGAACGAATCAAGGAAATCAGAATTTTCAGATATCTGACAGTTTGTGTGTTAGACAGATTGGGGGAGACTTTTCCAGGCAGCCAGAGCTAGAAGTCTATTGCTGGAGGCTGTGTGAGGGAACGCAGGCTGATGGAAAGGAAATGAGGTGAGCAAGAAAGGGAAGCATCTGAGAATCTGCTGCAAAAACAAAAGCAAGCTGTATGTGAGGTTAGTTGTTAGTTATGGAGATAAGAAGAATGAGGCAAAGGTGGGGCCATAGACTTAAGCTGAGGGCTATGACATTCACAAAATGGGAAAATGAAAATAGGACTCGGTATTGGAAGGGGAACATGACGTGTAAACTGAAGAAAACAATTTTGCTGTGGAGTTACATGGAGGAAAAATGAGCCTCCAGAGTAACTCAGAGCCAAGAGAACAAGTAGCTCTGGGAGCCAGAGGTAGGTTCCCTGGCGTGGCACAGAAAGTAAAGTATGTGGCAGACCACAACACATGCGTTCTCCTTCTGAGTCAGGGCTGAGATGCAACAGCGGCTCTTCTGCTTCTCTCTGTACCTTTTCAGTTTCTCAACTTCAGAGAGATTTCTCAAAAGTTGAATCATTTCTGTTTCACTCAGTATTCTGTTATTCAAATATCCAATGATAATGTGATTTAAAAAATATCAGTTTAAAAAAAAAAAAGATCTTACCATCCTTAGTGCTGTCGAAAACAACAACTGAGACATTAGTAGAAGGGTTTTTTGGCTTTGCGACATTGAATATGTCACTGGCAGAATGAAAAGAAGGATGGAGAGCTGGCAGGTCCTTGAGCGTGACGTTGGCTGGCAGGGCTGGGTCCAGGATGAGCATTGGCACCTTAATGCAGTGGGTCAGCAAACACTCCAACTGCTTCTCACTGGAAAGAAATGCCAACATGCTTATATAGACATTCTAGAAAATCTAATCATGACAGAAAAGCTTGTTGATGCTACTAAATTTTCCAAATTTTCTTCAAAGACAAAGAATTGCATCCCAGGAATATAAAAAGTTAAGTAAGGTGGCAAGTATGCTATAAAATTATTAAGCAAAGATAACTCTAGAGAGAGGGAGCTTCCAATCACCTTTCCCTATTCTATTAATAAAACAAGACTGCCACCAAAATTTATTCACTCAAATATGCACAAGAAAATAAGTACTTCATTAGTACTGTTTATAAGTTTATTCATAATTCCAGTGAATCCCATGATCAGACAGATTAGGGAGCATGAAAATTCTAGTTACAGAGGTGCCATTTTCCCAGATACAACTTACCAATTTCAATTAGAATACAATTAAATACAGCAGATATGAAACTACACTGAAACAAACAAAAGCAAATGTGAAGCAAACATGACAATATGCCAACATAAATTCATGTGAGATATTTTAATCTAAATATGAGGCACAGCCAGAGCTTCCAATAAAGGAGTAAACAAAATGGCTAGATAATTCACAAATTGGGAAGTACAAATAGTTAAACATATAAAATTGTTCAACCTTACTGAGCAATGAAATTAAAACAATGAGTATTATCTTTTATTTACTAAATTAGCACTCCTAAAAAAATGTTATTGTGTTTACAGTAAAACTAATTCTTCTCAAACACTGCTGGTATCATTCCAAATTGGTACCTGTTAAATATGAGCCTGCCACAGGGCCTTTGCACAGGCTGTTCCTATCCTAGGACCATTCTCCTCCTACTTATCTACACAGTGAAAGCAATTTGGTAATACACAGATCCAGAACCCCACAAACATATAAATGCTCAGATTCAGTAATCCTTCTTCCAAGAATCTAGTCCAAATAAGGACAGATAAAAAAACCAACTTACACAAAGGAATGCCATAGAACCAAATATAAATATTACAATGAAAATATGGAAATGTCCAATACTCAGTAAATTAAAGTCAATTTATGCCACTCCTCGGAAGGAAGGTTGGGCAATCTACTTCCGTAGTGATACTGCCTCGGAAACCCAAGGAGGGGTGGCTATGAGTCGAGTCCAACTCGACGGCAAATAACAACAACAATGGAATATTATGCAAGTATTAAAATAGATAAAATATGAAATATCAAGATTATATATCAATATGGAAATATATATGATAACATAAAGTTAAAAAAAGGAGGACACTAAAGTGTATAAGGGAGCTCTGCTGGTGTAGTACTTAAGGCATGTGACTGCTAACCAGAAGGTTGGTGGTTCAAACCCACCAGCAACTTCTTAGAAAGAAGGTTGGGCAATCTACTACTGTAGTGACACTGCCTTGGAAACCCAAGGAGGGGTCGCTATGAGTTGGATCCGACTCCGTGGTAGTGAGCTTGGTTTGGAAAGTATACAGAACCGAGGACTTCTGGTAAGATGGCGGAATAGACAGACAAGCTACACAGACCCTCTTCAATAAAGAAAAGAGACACCCAATTGACAAACATACATCCTGGAGCCCTGAGCTTTGAGAGGGAGGATACAGAAGTAGATTAAATACTTACTACTAGAAAAACCTGAATGAAAAAAGTCACCAAGGAAACAAATGGAACTCCTGACTGTCAGCTATCCTGACAATGTGGCCTATTTGAATATTACAAGTGGTGTTAAGACCTGGGCAGTAACCTAAAAATTGCCCTGCTTGCCAAGAGCTGCATGGACAACTGCATTGTTGGCTGATGACTGAGAAGGGAAACAGCAAAAAAGGAGATAAACTGAGCTGTGGACTTCCAGCTGTCCAGTGGGTGAAGGCATTTTGAATATTTGTAAGCCGTGCAGCCATTACGGATGTTTGAAGTGGCAGTATTCCAATTCCAGTGACCAAAGAATACACTCTGCCTGCTGAGGACAGCAAAGGCAACAACAATGAAGGCTGACGACTGGAAAGGTAGGATATTTCCCCATTACTCTTATACGCCACACCCTCTTGGTGAATGGCGGTGTGGCCATCTCTCACCTCCACCCACCTTCTGGACCACAGGGATTCCATCCCAGTCTGTGTGCTCTAATGGAGTCTGAGTGCCCTGCCCCTGCCCCAGAAGGATTTTGTTTTTAAATTATTCTTTTTTTCTTCCTTTTAATTTTTATTCTTTTTCCCTTCCTTGTTTTTCTTTTTGAATTTTTCTGGTTTTTCTTTATTATTCTTCTACTCTAGCTGTTTTCTCTAATTCCACACTCCCCAGATACTGTGGGTTTTTTTTTTTTCTTTTTCTATTTATATTTGTTTTGGCTTTTTAAAGTGTTTCATTAAATATTTCTTCTCATTTATTGCCTTTCCCTTTTTCTTTTCTGTGATAGTTCCTGTGTTCATGCAGTATGTGTTTTTTGTCCTCGTATTTTTACTTTATTTATTTTTTTGAGTATTGTTTTTATCTAACAGAGTGGGAGACAGCAATTGTGCCCATAAGAGCCAACTATATATACTTGCACCTCCTGCAGCCCCACCTACTGAGTGAGGACCACAACTTGATTCTATACCAACCAGCCAGCAACAGACAATAGCCAATACAAGCCCGTCTCACCCTTAAATGCACTTCACAAACAGCTAACAGAGATCCGTGCACCTACTCTCATTCTCTGTAACACCCACCAGGAGACAGCTGGCGAGTGCTTAAATGGTGCCAATTAGCAACCAGAGGAGCACAATATGCTGCTTACTCAGATATATCAGAACAAAACAAAGGGAAAAAAATCTTCGGTGAATCACATCAACATACGCTCACCAATTAAATATAAATACCATGACATCACAATGTCTCAGAGACAAAAGACCATCACAGTCCACAGAAAGAAGCATGATAAAGTAGTGGAAACAAGGAACCAGGATACTGACCCAGAAAACAACCCTGAGGAAGAAGCAGCATTGGAACTCCCTGATAAGGAAATCTTAAGAATTTTATTTAGGTACCTTCAACAGACTGAGAGGGAGTTCTGGTAGTGTAGTGCCTAAGGCACTTGACTGCTAACCAGTCACTACTCGGTTTGAACCACCAGCCACTACTCGGAAGGAAGATGGGGCAATCTATGTCCATAGTGATACTGCCTTGGAAACCCAAGGAGGGGTCGCTATGCGGTGGCTCTGACTCAATGGCACATAACAACAACAACAACAACAGACTGAGAGACAGATCCAGGAAAACACTGACAAATATATTTTTCCCCTATAATAGTTGTACTTAATTTTGGGCTAAAAACTAGCAAAAGGAGGATCAAAAATGAGCAATAGAATATATGCAAAATACTGATACCCAGGAGGGTGCAGCCATTTTGAACATTTACAAGCAGTAGCCATTTTGGATATTTAAAGTGATCAAGGGTGCAGCCATTTTGAATCTTTACAAGTGGCAACCATTTTGAATTTTAAAGTGATAGCATTCTTATTTGGATACCAGCGACCTAAGAATAGGCTCTGTTTGCCAAGGTTGGCAGGGACATACAAGAGGCTGACAACAGGAAAGGAGACAAGTGGTGAGTGTATAAGTGTTGTCAACTAGTGAATAGAGGAACACTGCACAGATCACATACAAAGAAAACGAAAATCGTTGGGAAGTCGTTCCAGCATACAATCACCAATTAAATATAAATACTAAAACGTCACAATGCCTCAGAGACAACAGAGCATCACAGTACACATAAAGAAGCAAGATAAAGCAGGAGAAACAAGGGACCAGGATATGGACCCAAAACACATCCCTGAAAAAGATGCAGCATTGGAACTCCATGATAAGGAATTCAAAAGAATTGTATTTCGGTATCTTCGAGGATTGAGAGACAGATCAAGGAAAACACAGACAAAACCCTAGAAGAATTTCGGGAGAAAATACCAGAATGAAATGACAAAATAAATGAAAAATTAGAAATGATTCAAAATCCACAGACAGAAATCCAGAAGATTAATACTAAATTTTCAGAAATAGATAAGACATTGAATGGGCAAAGGAACAGAACTGAATCAATGGAACACAGAATTAGGGAGACTGACTGCAAATACCTGAACACTTCTTTGGAAAGGGATAAATTAGCAAAAAAGATCAAAACAAAATGAAGAAAGCCTAACGTTCATGTGGGATACCATCAAAAGGAATAACCCACATGTAATCGGAATTCCAAAACAGGAAGACACAAATAAAACCACAGAAAAAATTGTCGAAGATTTGTTGGAAGAGAATTTTCCTGGTATGATGAAAGATGAGAATATACCCATTCAAGAAGTCCAACGAACCCTAAACAGGATAGTCCCCAAAAGAAAATCACCAATACATACCATCATCAAACTCACCAAAACCAAAGACAAAGAATCCTGAGAGCAGCACAGGAAAAACACAAAGTTACCTACAAGGGGCAACCAATAAGACTAAGTTTGGATTTCTCGGCAGAAACCATGCAGGTGAGAAGACAATGGGCTGGTATATATAAAACCCTGAGGGGGAAAAATTTCCAACCAAGAATTATGTACCCAGTAAAACTGTCCCTCAAATATGATGGTGAATTTAGGACATATCCAGATAAGCAGAAATTAAGGGAATTTGTTAAAACCAGACCAACCTTCCAAGAGATGCTAAAAGGAGTCCTTTGGACAGAGAAGCAACAACAGCAAACAACTGACCACTAACACACATGATGACATAACCCAGAAACCAACCCAGCTATCTAAGTATCCAAAGTAAATAAGCCTACAAGATTGTAAACAGGGAACCAGAGACATCAATTGACAAATGAGGACAACTACAACCCAAAAAGAGGGAAAAAACTGTGTTGTTACAGAACTCCTAGATGGTAGGGAAGTCAAGACAACTACAAGATAGAACGGACTGTTCTGAACTTGGGAAGAAAACTTTATCACAGGGTAACCTCAAAGAAAAATGATAAACTTTCACATCAAAATAAAAAAGAGGACCAGCACAAATATCTAGCAAACACTAAAACAATAGCAACAAAGAAAGTGATAACATGATTCATAAAAAAAAAACGAGCTCAGCACAGAAAATTATGTGGAACAAGAAATCGACACCACAAAAAAGCAAATAACAAAAATGACAGCAAAAAACTCATATTTACCAGTAATTACATATCTGACAAGAGACTTATCACTAAGATTTATAGAAAACTCCAACGCCTCTACATCAAAGGAATTAACAATCCAATTGAAAAATGGGCAGAAGACATGAATAGACACTTCACCAAGGAGGATATTCAGGTGGCCAGCTAATACATGAAGAGATGCTCACAATCACTGGCCATCAGAGAGATGTAAATCAAAACAACAACGAGATACCGTCTTACTCCAGCACTGATGGCAAAGCTCCACAAGACAGAAAATAACAAATGCCAGCAGGGATGTGGAGAGATTGGGACTCTCATACACTGCTGGTGGGACTGTGAAGTGATACAACCACTGTGGAAAGCAATATGGCGTTTCCTTAGAAAGCTGGAATTGGAGATACCATTTGACCCAGCAATCCTATTAGTAGGTATATATCCTAGAGAGGTGAGGGCCAGGACAGGAACAGATACATGCACACTCATGTTCATCACAGCACTATTTACAATAGCAAAAAGATGGAAACAACCTACATGCCCATCAGCGGAAGAGTGGATGACCAAACTATGGTACATACACACAATGGAATGCTATACAGCACTAAAGAATAATGTAGAGTCTGCAAAACACCGCATAATATGGATGAACTTGGAGGACATTATGCTGAGTGAAATAAGTCAATCACAGAAAGACAAATATAGTATTAGTTCATTGTTGTGGAGGGTCAAGGAAAGGTTTATATATGGAGAGAAACTTTCTTTGTTGGTTGCCAGGGGTGGGAGAGGAGAGAGGGAACAATGCAAAAAACAAAAACAAAAAAACCAAAAAACAAACAAACAAAAAACCGCACTGACCCATGTCACTTTAGTTCTGTGTATTTCACTGTACACAAATTATATTTCAATAAAATGCATTTAATTAAAAAAAAAAAGAGTGGCCTCCAGCTTCAGTGGGCTGGAAGCAAGAGGCAGAGCTAAAGCCTGCCTTCAACTCAGCCCCCAGTACTGGCACTTTGAACTCGGACTTCAAGCCTCTTAAACTGTAAGAGAATAAAAGTAAATAAATACTGATACCCAACAAAAACAAGGGATAATCTGGAAATTTCACTTAGTTCTTCACTTTTATATTAGAGGAAAAGCAAAAATGCTTACCTCTTTTTAGTTGGCTCCGTTGTGTTCTTCCCAAGGATTTCTCTAATCAAAAGCAGATAGAGATTATTACATATGCATAGACTAGTGCTATCCCCAAAATGCGACTAAATGTGGGCTTACCAGTTACTGTGTTGGAACTAACCTATTGGTAGAAGGTACTACAATGCTACAGACTTAAAAATACATAATAAATTACATGTTTTAATGAAACAGTATCAGTGACATATCAACTGAGGCAGTTTACTTAAAACAGAAGTGTTTACATTTTACTATAAAAACATGGTACCAGGCTGTTCAAATCATTCTTGTGCACTGGGAAGGTTTTAAATCCTCTAAAAAGAGAAAGAAACAACTTGTTGCAGTATGATGTAGCCAGTTACCTGCAACAGAGAACACTCATAACACTTATAAAGGGGTAAATGGGAAAGTTCTCAGCAAATGCTCCTGTGGAATCAAGAAGAGACTACATCAGCCAGGGCCCTACCTCAAAGGCTCCTCTGCAGCCCACTGTGGATGAAAGAAACAAAATGAAGATTTTTTGTTTTTGTTTTTTTAAATTCCAAAAAATGCTCCCGATTCCGTAGTGTACTATTTGACACTAAAAAGAATATACTTCTCTACTAGCTTTTTCAAATGGAAAAAAATTAAGCCTAGAGGCCCATTTTATTTTTCAAGAAATAATCTATCTTACTGTGAAGGTATTATGCATAATGAAAGCTTATTTCATGAAGAAATCATCATGCCTGGGACTCAGAATTGTTAAGCAGGAATCACAGGGCTCCCTTGGGAGGTTCCCTCACCCTTAGGCCCTCAGAGACCACGCCATGACTACAGCTCAACATTTACATCTAACAATGGAAGAGGCCAGGACCTCACAGAAGCAGCAGGGTCCACCTCAGGCACCAAAGAACAAGGGTGGGGCAGGTGACTGTCAAAATCTGGTAATGGATTTGAAACACAGATTTTGGTTAAAGTAGCATGGGGGATACCATCTGATTCTTATCAAATACTCTGCTACTTGTATGGTAGGACACTGTGCAATTTATTTTCAAATCAGTTTTACCTCATTGCTTTTTGCTCCTCCTCCATCTGTTCTCTGACTTGCTTTAGTTCCTTTAGCAGTTCAAGATCAGTGCCGTTGACCCAGGTGTAGACCACATCAATCGGCATGGGCAGACAGAGTCTAGGACAAAGCCAAAAGTAGTCCAGCTTAAATGCATGTCTTCCAGTGTCCATCTATACAACAGAGCTAAGGGGGCAAAGTTATGATAACTTCTTAGCCAAAGCCAAACATCCTGAGGGAATGGGTCCCTGTGCCCACAGATTTGAGGCCATGGTCACAGGGTACATCAAGCTCAACTGGCATAACATACAACACAAAAACATTGTCCTATATTCTACTTTAGTGACCAGCAACTGGCACCTTTAAAGCTGAGAAGTGGCCATGTAAAACGCAACTATGGTCTCTTTTCCACTGGAGTAATGAAGAAAACCAAAGACACATGGGAACAATTAGTTCAAGCGTCAGTAGACCCTGGGAACCTGAGCCTACATGACACCGAGACCAGAAGTACTACATGGTGCCCAGATACCACTGTCAACCACAGAAAGTGATCAAAATTGGAGCTGATGGACAGAGTGGGAGAAAAATATGGAACAAAACTCAAAATCATAATTACTGGTCTGACAGAGACTGGTGAAACCCCTAAGACTATGGCCCCTCATCACCATTTGGGTCTAGAACTAAACTCACTCCTGTGGCTTCTAGCCAAACAGGCATATAAGGTGAACAATCTCACCAGGTAGGGACACTCCTTAGAACAATCATCCATGGGAAATCAGAAGGGCAGTATTTGCACAGGGAGATAGCTCAGACAGCAGGAATGCACAGGAAAGAAGGACACAGGGAAAAGGTAACAACAGGGGGGAAGTGGAAAGAGAGCTGTTACATTATGGGGATTTTAATTAATGTCATGTAACAAAATGTGTATGAACTATCGTATGGAAAATGAATTTGCTCTGTAAACATTCACCCAAATCATAATAAAAAGAAAAAAAAAAATGCATTTCTTTCAACTGGAAGATACTTTTCTTTGCGTGAAGACTATCACACAAAGATTATACTTAAAAGTTACTCTTAAAAATCAATGCAAAAGTAATCCAATCATGTCACAGCCAGCTACCCAGAGGGACCGAGTAGTTGAACCTGTGGGCTTGGGACCATTGTCACAGGGGACATCCAGCTCAACTGGCATAACATACTACACATTGTTCTACCTCCTACTCTGGCGAGTAGTGACTGGGATCTTTTTTTTTTTTTTTTTTAGGATTTGGGTGAAGATTTACAGAGTAAATTCACTTTTCATAGAGCAGTTCACATATACTTTGTCTCATGTCATTGACCAAAATTTACAATGCAGCAGCTCCCCTCCCACTTCCTCCCCATAGTTACCTCCTCCCAGTGTCCATCCCTTCATACTCTTCTGTACCCTGAGCTATCTCCCTGTGCATAAGCAGCCCTTCCTTCTCCCACGATTGTTCTCTCCAGGGCGTGTGTCTACTTGAGGTAAATGTTTAACTCACATGCCTGTACTTTGTTTAGCTGGAAACCACAGTTGTGGGTTCAATTCCAGACCTGAAGGGCAGCTAGGGGCCATAGTCTCAGTGGTTACACCAGGCTCTATTGGACCAGCAAACCTGGAGTGACTGGGGTCTTAAAAGCTTGCAAGCAGCCATCTAGATGCAACGATGGGTCTCTCCTCGTCCAGAGCAAAGAAGAATGAAGAAAACCAAAGATTCATGGAAACAATTACTCCTAGCTAGTAACTGGTACACCATGCAATCTGTAGCCTATACGACTATGAGACCAGAAGAGCTAGATGGTGCCCAGCTACCATTGTCAACCACTCGGAGGGGGATCTATATAGGAGATCCTGGATAGAGAGGAGAACAATGTGGAACAAAACTCAAAATCATTTGGAAAAAAAAAGGGGAGGGGGCACCAGGTTTGCTGGTCTAATAGAGCCTGGTGGAACCACTGAGACTATGGCCCCTAGCTGGCCTTCAGGTCTGGAACTGAACCCACACCTGTGGCTTCCAGTCAAACAGAAGACAGGCATAGGAGTTGAACATTTACCTGAGGTAGATACACTCCTTGGAGAGAATAATCATGGGAGAAAGAAGGGCTGTGTATGCACAGGGAGACAGCTCAGGGAGCAGGAGTGCATGAAGGGATGGACACAGTGAAGAGGTGACTATAGGGAGGAAAGTGGGAGGGGAGCTGTTACATTGTAGTAAATTGTAGTCAATGTCATGAGACAAGGTGTGTGTGAACTGCTGTATGCAAAGTGAATTTGCTTTGTAAATTTTCACCCAAATCACAATTAAAAAAAAAAAAAAAAAAAGGAATTCAATCGTGGCATTATCATAGAATTACATTTTCAAATGGGAGCCAGACGTTACTCTGTCACCTTCTCTGTGAGCTGTGTTATGTACACTAGATACTTTATGTCATTTTTATCATTTGATCCTCACAATCACTTCCATTTTAAAAGCTGATGGGGATGGTGGTCATAAACTGCTACCACTTCACAGCTTAGTGAATGAGGAAGCAGGGACACACATACAGCCAATGCAGAAAAGAAATCAAAAGCTTAAAGAACAAGGCTTTATTTTGATGTCTTTGCCTGGTTTTGGTATCAAGGTTATGCTTGCTTCATAAAATTGAGTTAGGGAGGACTCCATTTTCTGTGTTTTTTTAGAATAGTTTGAGTAGGACTGGTATCAGTTCTTCTCTGAACATTTGGTAGAATTCTCCAGTGAAACTGTCTGCGCCAGAATTTTTTTGTTGGTAATTTTTTTTATGACCTGTTGCAGTGTAGTTAATTACCTGGTATGGCTTTTCTAGCCATTAAGTCTTTGTAAACTCCATGGTGGAATTTGCTGTGAGCAACTGAGGAGCTACTGATTGCAAATGTCATCCACCTGGGGTATTTCTGTTGGGAGTGGCAAAAAACAATGTTCTAGAAAGTTCACTCTCCCTCAGGTGCTTAGAATTCTGATGTTATGATTGGTTAGTTTGGCCACTCTGCCAGGCTCAAAAGAAGGCCTCCTAGAGGCAAAAGTCTCTTTCTCTCTCTCTGACTGCTGGTTGAGAAGGACATGCTGCTGAGAGAAAATGATCCTGAGAGACACACACTGCTGTGAAAGAGACACTGAGAGACATGGGCTGCTGAGAAAGAGACACCAAGAGACATGCATTGCTGAGACAGACACTAAGAAACACACATTGCTGGGAGAGTGGCTGAGAGAAACTGTTGGCTGAGAGATGACAGACTGAGAGAGACTGAGTGATTTTCTGAACTTGAATTGTAGCCTGGTGCTTCCCTAATAAACCCCATAATCTGTGAGTTCTGTGTAGCAACTGCAGTGAATTATCGAACCCAGCAGAAAGGTGGTGAGTGCTGTGGGAGGAACGGTTGGTGTCAGGGTTGGAAAAAGGGCTGGAGGGAGGCAGCATGTCTGGCCTGGCAGGAGTAAGCTTTGGGCTACTGATGGTGATTCTGTCTTCCTCTTGTGGGGTTAGAGAGGTCAGAAGATGTGGTCTCCCTGCCCCTTTAGCACCTGTTCAATTTCCTCTTTTGCTATGGATCTGTTCAATTTTTCCACCTCAGTCTGTGTTAGTTTAGGTAAGTGATGTGTTTCTAGAAATCTGTCCATTTCTTCCAAATTTTCAAATTTGCTGGAGTACAGTTCTTCATAGTATCCTGATATTATCCTTTCTATTTCAGTTGGTTCAGTCATGATGTTGCCCATTTCGTTTCTCATTTGTGTTATCTGTATTCCCTCCCTCTTTTCTTTTGTTAAGTTTGTCAGTGGTTTGTCAATTTTTAGCCTTTTCTAAAAACCAATTTCTAGTCTTGTTGATTTTTCCTATTTTCTGTTCATTTATTTCTGTACGAATCTTTCTTATTTCTTCTGGTGACTGCAGGCTTTCTTTGCTGCTCTTTTTCTAATTGTTGGAGATGTTGGTTTAAAGTGCTGGTTTTGGCTCTTTCTTCTTTTTTGATCTGTGCATTTATTGCTATAAATTGGCCTCTGATCACTGCTTTTGCTGTGTTCCAAAGATTTTGATATGTTTTCATTCTTGTTTGATTCAGGAATGTTTTTCTTTCTTCTGTTACTCAGTCATTCTTAAGGTGAGTGTTGTTCAGTTTTCATGAGTTTGCTCTTTTTCTGTTGATCTTCCTATTGCTGATTGCTAATTTTATAGCACTGTGATGTGAGAAGATGCTTTGCAGTATTTCAATGTTTTTAAATTTATTAAGACTTGCTTTATGGCCTAACCTATGGTCTAACATGGAAAATGTTCCATGTGCACTGGAAAAGAATGTATATTGTGCTGCTGTTGGGGGAAGTGCTCTCTAGATGTCTATAAGGTCACGTTGGTGGATTGCATTGTTCAATTCTTCTGTGTCTTTGTTGAGTTTCTTTCCAGTTGAAGAACTAGGCTTTACTTTAAAAAGTTATTAAGAGTTCCCAATGAAGACCCAGCCCTATGTTATGCTGCAGCCTTCCCCTGCCCTGTCACGCCCAGGCCTCCCTATCTACCTCACTCTGTTTCTTCTTTTTTATAACACTCAGCATTTTTCTAACATATTAGACAATTAACTTGTTACCTACACTGTTAACCTTCATGTCTTTGGTTCTCTAAATTATCCAAGCACTTAGAAGAGTGTGTAATAGATGGTTGCTGAATCAATCAATGATGTATTAGCATAGAAGACGTTCTTGAAACTATTTCCATAGTAATACTGCCTCAGAAACCCAAGGAGGGGTTGCTATGAGTTGGAGACACCTTGATGGCACAAAACAACAATAAGATCCCAGGTAATGCTGATGCTGCTGATTGGTAAATTATACCTTGAGAACCGCTTATATGTTCACATTTTAATAAAAAAATTTTTATTAAAAGTTCCCCCCATTAAAAATGTTGGTTCTATGAGTTCATTACTCTTGTCCACCATTATATCCCTGAGGCCTAGGATAGGCCTGGTACATAGGTGGAGCTCAGTGTTTGTTAGATAAACAACTACTGGCTCACATGGTCAATATATATACATCAGTCTTTCTCATTTAAAAAAAAAAAAAAAAAAAAAACCTGTCTTACATTACCCACTTGTA